ATCTCATATCTAACCTCTATACTGAGCTTTAATTCTAAGCATCATCCCTAGTTCATGCCATCATCTCGTCTCTACTATAGCAACAGCCTTCTACCTAGTCTCCCTTCTTCCAATCTGTTCCCCACTCTGAAGCCAGAGTGACTTTCCCAAAATACAAATTGGATCATGTTACTCTTCTGCTTAAAGCTATCTACAGTTTCCTATTATGTTCATGTTAAAATTCTCAACACTAACGTGGCCTCCATGACCTGAGATTTGACCCCAGCTAACTCTTCAGCTTTATCTTCTGCTAAGCTGTCTCTTACACTCTAAGATCCCGATGCTATAAGCTTTTAAAAAGCTCATCTAAAGGATCTTGTTCCCTCTTATCTCCAGGTTTTTGTCCTTGCTGTTTCCTCTGTCTGGAATACCATCTCCTTCCATCCCACTCCTTTCTCCCTTGGCCTTCACCTAGCCAACATCTACTCACCCTTCAGGTTTTGGCTTGAATAACACTTGTCAACTCCAGAATGGGTGTACCTGAAATGCACTGCCGTATTACCTGGTAGATCCTAGTCTATGCATGTATCATCCCGTGACAGGCACATGGGAGGACACTCAGTATGTTGAATGAAGGAAGGAAGGAATTGAATGGACTCTTTTGGGTTTTCTGGAAGGAATGTCCAAGCCAGCTTGGTGATTTTCACTCTAGGTGAAACTGACTCACTTCCCCCAAACATGAGACTCAGGCCTGGCCCATCAGAACAACACATACCCTGCCCTGGGCCACAGGTCAGGACTTGGCAGATAATCCAAGTCAAGGCAATCAGGCCCAGTCAGAGATGAAATCAGGCCTTCTGCTTGAGGAACCAGGAAAAAATGGTTTTAATTTTCACCAGCCTTAGAGCTGTAAGAATGTAAGAAGCAGACACAGGGAAACAGAGCCAAAAGTTGGAGAGGGAGAGGGAGAAGAGAAGAAGGCTGGCTCCTCATTTCCAGCTGTAGCCTGGTTCTGTCTCCATTTTGGAGGATACTGTTCAACTCTAAGTTTATTTCACCTGTTTACTTGTCCCCATGCCCAAACTTTTGGGAAAATAAGAGTGCAACCAAGCCCACGCATGAGGGGCCAGAGAGGCATGTGAGAAACAAAATGTGCTGAAACAGAAGGTCTCAACCTGGGGCTCCCTAAGGTAAAGCAGGACGTCAATCCAGTGACTCTAGCTTCATTCAAGAAATATTTAATAAGCATTCAGCATATTCTAGGCATGTGTTTTTCAAAGTGTAGTACATGGATAATCTGTCAGAATTCTCTCCTACACTTCCTACTAAATCAGAAGCCCTGGGGGCTTAGGAATCTGCATTTTACAGCAGCTCTTGTAGGTGATTTGGATTCACACTGAAGTCTGAAAACCACAGGCACTGAGCTGGGTGCTGGGGCCTACCTAACACAAAGCAAGGCAGACGTGGTCCCTGACTTACCAGTATATTTATGTGGGGCAGGGGTAGGCAGGGGAGTGAGGGAACAGCTGATTACAATAAGGTGATACAGCGCTAAAACAGAACCAGGGAGACCACAAGAGAGGCGCTTAGCTCAAACTGAGGAGGGTCAGAGAAGTCTCACAAAAGAACACCGAAGCTAAACTTGGAGGAGCTACAGCCCTGAAGAGAAACGTGTATTTCACAGAAACAAGGGAGTTGTCAGCTCCTGGAGAGTAAGTACAGCAGTGGCTGCGAACGAAACGGCTAGTCGGAGAGTGTAGAGTGAAAAGCGGACGAAGGACCCAATTGTGAAAGACCCCAAACCACCCCGTCCCTCCAAGATGTCATCGGTCCTTGCCTTCGCCTGTCGTTTCGCCCTTCGTGGAAGTAGGCCCGCGCCCAAGAGAAACCATCCAGCTTCCAGCCTAACGCAACAAGAGGGGGGGGGGTGATCGGCTCTTCCGGGACGCTCCCCCGCCCCCCGGGGACTGCGCTGGACGTGCCCGCCCTGCGCGACGACGTCAGCGCGCCCGCGCGCGCCAGGGGAGGAGTGGGAGCTGCGGGCCTGGAGGCGCTGACGCTCCAGTAACCCGGGCTGGGCAGTGGGGAGGAAGGGGCGGGACAGCGAGTCCCCCCACAGTGGGGGGTCGCGGTTTGGACCCGGAGCGGGAACCCTAGAGGAGCTCAGCATCGCTTCCTCTACCAGCAGGCCCCGTCCGGCCCGGCGATGGAGTTTCCGGACCTTGGGGCTCACTGTTCGGAGCCGAGCTGTCAGCGGTTGGGTGAGGGGGTGAGGGGCGGAGCAGGCGGGAGGCGGGGCCGGGCGGAGACGGGCTTGGAACTGCAAGTGGCGGGAAGGGTGGGCTCCCGGGCTGGAAGTGCCCGAGGGGGGCGGGGCTCGAGGTTGGGGCGTGGCTTAGGAGATAGTGGACTAGGTCAGGGGTGCAGTTCACTGCCAGTACTGCGGCGTTTTCGTTCCCCTGAGCGGAAGGCTTGAGTGAGCGGGAAGGAGGTCGAGGTCCCCCTGGACCTGCAGTCCAACCCACTTCCTGCAGATTTTCTGCCGCTCAAGTGCGACGCCTGCTCGGGCATCTTTTGCGCAGACCACGTGGCCTACGCCCAGCACCACTGTGGATCTGCTTACCAAAAGGTGAGGGGGCGGTCTGCGGGTGAAAGGGGGCGGATGGAGGATGGCATGCAGAATCTCTGGAACCCCTCTGCCTCCCATTTCCTCTCTTTTACTGTCTTTCTGAGGCTCAGTGCTGGGAACATTCCTTTTGCGTTTATGGGGGGTCATGTCCAGGTTCTTTCAGGACTAGAGATTTGGCTGGTTTGGGAGTAGGCCACAGACCGACCCCTGCTCCCTGACTGTAGGATATCCAGGTACCTGTATGCCCACTCTGTAATGTGCCTGTTCCTGTGGCCAGAGGGGAGCCCCCTGACCGTGCTGTTGGGGAACACATTGACAGAGACTGCCGCTCTGATCCAGCTCAGCAAAAGCGTAAGGTAAGCGTTGGAGGGGTTCACCATGGTCACCTGGGACTACAGTTGCCTGGAAGTCTGTACAACTGTTAGGATGGGGTTGAAGGGGGATCAGAGTCTCAGCAGAGACAATCCTCCCTACTCCACCTCAGATCTTCACCAATAAGTGTGAACGCTCTGGCTGCCGGCAGCGGGAAATGATGAAACTGACCTGCGACCACTGTGGCCGAAACTTCTGCATCAAGCACCGTCACCCACTGGACCATGATTGCTCTGGGGAGGGGCACGCCACAAGTAAGGCAGGGTAATTGCAACCAAGTCCTCTACTTGCCTTTGGGACCATCCCATCCTTCTGAAACTGACTCAACCTGTCCCCTTTGGCTAGGGAGTCCTTTTATTTCCTTTGAAGTGCATGTTTTCCAGACCTTGTGGAGGAGTTCCCCTCCAGACTTCCTTGGTCAGGCCAGGGAGGAACATGCAAGCTGACCGTGCCTGCAGGCATGCCAAGAGTGTCTCTTCCCTACAGACTGGCTGCCATCTCCAGAGCACAAGGCCTAGCTTCTTCTACAAAGACCATCCCCAGCCCAAACCAGACCTTGCCTTCATCTACCTCTGCCAGCAGGTAGGCCTGCCTGTTTCTCCTCTTCCTTTTTTCCCTTCACATCTCTGACCTCAGCCTCTTGAATGTCTGCCATAGAGCCACAGCTCAGTCTCCATCCCGGACAGCCTCTCCAGTGATTGCTTTGCAAAATGGCTTGGTGAGTTGGGCAGGGGTCAGATGGACAGAAGCAAACCCAACAGAGAGTAAAGTCCAAGGCAGCTGGTCTTATTTTTCCTTTTGCAGAGTGAGGATGAGGCTCTGCAACGAGCCCTGGAACTGTCCCTGGCAGAGACCAAACCCCAGGTCCCAAGGTACCTTCTCTCTGGTGAAAGAGGGTGGGACGTGGGCAAGGGCTCAGTTTGGAGGGAGGTAGGTGGGACCACTCTCATCCAATGCAGGATAACTGTTAGGAACTTGGGCTCACAATTAAGCTTTTGAACTACAGTATGTGACCTTTGACAAGTTCTTTAACCCATTAGTCTTAACGCACTCTATAAAATGGGGACAGTACTAATACCTTATAGAACCCTACCTATGAAAATTGAGATAATACTCACAAGTGCTCAGCACAGTGATGCCTAACAGATGAGATGCTCACATTTTAGATACTGTCATCCAGCTTAAGCTGTTCCTCCCTCCCAGTTCTCAGGAGGAAGAAGACTTAGCTTTAGCACAAGCACTATCAGCCAGCGAGGCAGAATACCGACAGCGGCAGGTATGAGGACGGGGTAGAGACAGGCCCTGCGCTGGGAGGAAGTAAGGAGTTTACGGGGGGTTGGGGGGTGCTCTTCCAAGTAGTAGAGTTTGGGAATGGTGGTTATCCTTGTGTTTTCAATATGACTCCAGCCCATGCTGAGCTCTGCAGTGAGGACTGTCCCCCTCATTTCCTTGACGTCGAACCCTGTCTTCCTCTCCTTCCCCTCCCCTTGCTCCAGGCTCAGAGCCGCAGCTTGAAGCCGTCCAACTGCAACCTGTGCTAGGGCCTTGGGCTTGGGGAGGGAGGCTCAGCTGAGGAGGACTGTGGCCCTCGCATCTCTAGGGTCCACAGGGAGAGGAGGCCCGGAGCAGCCTAGAGTGAAGATGAGGAGGAGTGACGTGGAGGCCACCTGCAGGGAGCATCAGGAGAAACAGCTTGTGGAGCTGAGCCTACAGATGGCTCTGCTGGCCTCTCCAGCTGCATGGGAGAGAACAGCTCTGAACTGTTCCCTGGCTGGGCCCTGGCCAGACCCCACATGGCCCCCTGCATCTTGACATCCCCCGTATACTGGGGCTCCCCCCACGTGTAGGGGGCTGGGAGGGGGAGCTAGAAAGAATAAAGAATCTTGGCAGTCAGTAAGACACCAAAGTGGTGTGTTTCTTTCTCCTCTCCAACCAAAAACAGAAGAGTCCTGTCAAGAATGCTCAGCTGATCTAAGGGTGGAGGCCCATTGCAATCCCCCACACCAGAAAGTCACAGTGATCCCAGCTCAGTCCACACTTTTATTTCCCCCAAAAGTGCTTTTTTGAAAGGCCCCTTTCCTTCACTATAGCTAGCACCAAGACCAGGATGAAATATGGCAGGGAAGAGGGGTACAGTGTTATTTCCCTCGGCTATGCTTTGGGAGGGAAGCATACTTTTGTCACCGGGCCTTAGTCTGGGGCTTGGTGTCTTCGGAGACTTCCTGTCCCTGCTGCTGCAGCTGCCACATGTCAGCATACACCCCGCCTCGGGACAACAGAGCCTCGTGCCTGGGCCAAGGAGAAAAACATAAGTCCCAACCAACTATCAGTTTTACCCCAAGAGTCCTCGCCACTAGTCTATGAGATGACAGGGAACTGGCGAGGGAGATCCTTCCAGAAAGCCCTGGGATTCCACAACCTTTTCCTGGGGCCCTCAATTCAGAGGCCCTTCCCTATTCATCCTACTGTGTCCCTTACCGTCCTCTCTCCACAATGCAGCCATCCTTGACGACGAGGATCTGGTCAGCACTAACCACAGTGGAGAGCCTGAGAGGTCAGAGATCAGTCACCTACCACACCACAAGTGTGGGCCCCGCTGCCCGCTGCCCGTCCCGTACCTGTGTGCCACCACGATGGTGGTGCGGTTGGTGCAGACTTTGGCCAGAGAAGCCTGGATGGCCCTCTCATTAGATGTATCCAGCGCAGATGTTGCCTACAGAGAGGGACTGGGTAAAACTGCCCCGGCCACCCAAGTCCCCAGTGGGAGGAGGATGCGAGCTGCTGGCCAAAGCCTCAGGAATCAAAAAGAACCTGTTTTGCGCTTGAAAACTGCAAGCTGTTTCTGTGAAACATGGATTTGTGCTAGCTCTCCTAGATGGAGACGGTGCCCAGCAAGAATGGCTGGGGCACAGGTCGGGGAGGAAGGAGGGGAGAAGGCACTCAGGGCCCTCACCTCATCCAGCAGAATGATGTCTGGAGCCTTGAGAATGGTGCGAGCGATGGCGACACGCTGCTTCTCCCCACCGCTTAGCTTCAGTCCCCGCTCACCCACCTGCGTATCGTACCCTGTGGAAATTGCCCACTTCCCTCAAGTCACAGTAATAAACTTGTTTTCTGTGACCAGATGGGCAAGGAAGAGGTGGAACCGAGGTCAGAGGGAGTAACGGGACTGAACTGGGCAGGAGGGGGACTCTGCAGGGGAGGCTCACCTTCAGGGAAAGCCACAATGGTGTCATGGATGCCTGCAGCCTGAGCCGCAGCCTTCACCTCATCGTTCCCAGCCGTGATGCGGCCATAGCGGATATTGTTGGCAATGGTGTCACTGAAGAGGACAGTGTCCTGGGGCACGACTCCAATGTGAGACCGGAGAGAGACCTGGGTCACCTGGGGCCAAAAGACCATATGCTCTGGCCTCTGAGACCCACCCAGGCCTGGAAGGTAGGATGGGATGGTGGGAGGCATATGGGATGAGAGGCCCTGCGTGAGAATCCTGCCTCCACCTTCCTAAACCCTAGCTGTGCAGGCAAATCACTTAACCTCTCTGAGTCTGTTTCCCCATCGATAAAGAGAAAATACACTTTCTCTCCCTGCTTCCCTGGGTTGCTGCAGATCTTTGTGCCTCATACAGCACCATACCACTCATTCTCATGACTACTTTTCTTATGTAAGTCGTCTACTGCTAGAAAGGCTGAGGTCTCCTGGCCCAACTTTCTGCAGGGGTGACAGCTCCTCCACCACTCCCTGGATGCCCAGCACCTGCCATTCTTTCACACACAGGCCTCTAAATTACAGGCTTCTCCCAAGCATCCTTACCTGTGAAATGTTCTGCCCATCTATTCGGATGCAGCCAGAGCTGATGTCATAGAAGCGAAAGAGCAGGCGCAAAATTGTGCTCTTCCCTGCTCCTGATGGGCCCACCTGTTGCATAAGAAACAAAGGGAAAACATTCTAAGGCCCATTGGCTTTTAAATCTTTCTCTCCAAGAGGCCACAATGTCCATGGAAGCTGCTACAGTCACTCCAGTAACCTGGCATGACAGGGCTAACTCCACAGCCTTGGTCCCAAGCTACCACGGGCACTAGAATAAGGGAAGCTCAAGGAGTCTGGGCCAACTGGCTGGGTCTCCTCTTACCAGGGCCAGTGTCTGTCCAGGCATCACGGTGAAGGACACATCCTGCAGGGTCTCCCGCCTGCAAAGAAGGATGGGCATGCTCAGCAGGCCTGCTGCACTGCCAGGGGCCCCCTCCGACACTAGAGCCACTACTGGGCCCTGCCCCTCTCTTGTTCAGGCTCTCTTTCCAGGTAGTGGTGCGCTGACAAGCAGGAAGGAGGGGCAGGAAGGCAGTGTGTAAATTGACACCGGAAAAGGGGGCTGGGGGACAGTGAAAGGGGAGGGGCTCACCCATTGGTATAGCTGAAGTGCACATTCTCAAACTCAATCTGGCCCCTCTGAAAGTGAAGGGGCCCTGCTCCAGGAAGGTCCTTCACCTGGGAGAGTGCCACCAATGTGTGCCATTACAGGCCTGGTATTCTCCAGACACAAAGAACGCCACGCAGGCTCCCGCTCCCCACAAACCCGGCTCCTGTCTCCTCACTCACTTCTGTCTCCTCTTTTAGCAGGTCAAACATGTTCTCCATGTCAATGAAGTTGGTCTGGATCATCCTGCAAGAAGAATGCTGGCTGGAGCTCCTCTGAGGAGCTGGAGAAATAACAGTGCACCCTGAACAGGTGAGGGCCAGGGTCAGGTTACCTGTAGTAGGTGCCAAACCAGTTGAGGGGCATGTACAGCTGGATGATGTAAGTGCCAAACAGCACAAAGTCCCCAACCTGTGGACATCAAGGGAAGAGGAGTCACAGGAGGCCTGCGGGCTCTCACCCTGCCCAGTGGCTATCACCCTCCCTGCTTCCCACCCAGGAAGCTGGTGGCCTAAACAAAGACCCCGGTCGCCTCATCCCCAGGCCCAGCACAATTCCCTCACCTGTAGCTTCTGCTCACTGACAAAATATGCACAAAGCAGGGAGCCAGAGAGGAGCCCAAGTCCAATCACCAGGTTCTGGGTCTGATTTAGCAAAACCAGTGAAGCACTTGACTTCCACTCCAAACCCTGGGGCCATGACATGAGAGGAAGGAATATCACATACATGCTGACAGTCACCAAATCCCAACCTGGCCCTGGGCACCTTCAACCTCACAGCCCAAATTTTACTCCTCTCTGTCCTGGCAATTCCACAAGGCCAGGCTGTTGCTCTCAGTAGGCCTCAAACTAGCATCCTCACCTGATATTTGATGATGGCCTCGCGATAGCGTTCCACTTCATAACTCTCCGCATTGTAATACTTCACCTGATGAATTCAAACCACCGCTGTTCCACACGGCCACAGCTTTCAGCTCAACTCCCCATCCCTCCTCCCTAATTGTAAACAGCACACCTCGCACCCCCCAGCTGCTTATCAGCCCCAATGGTCCCAGGCACACTCTTCCACATCTCCGAGCCTCACAACACTGCCACCGAGGCCTCTGTTACCGTCTCAAAGTTTAGCAAAGAGTCCACAGCCCGTGCCCGGGTAGCATTCTCCTGTGTGTTCATAGCACGTCGAAACTTCGTTCTCCACTCAGTGACCACAATGGTCAGGGCTAGAGAGTGACAGGAGGAGGGAGAGGGAGAAGAAGAGAGCAAGACATCACTCCCAGCAGCGGAGACCACGTGCATGCCTGCTGGTGGTCACGTGCGCGCTAACCCTGTGCTACAGCCCAGGGATCCAGATTCCAAAGCAGAGGGAGTCTTAAGCTCCCTGAGGGAAGGGGCTGTGTCCAAGACCTCACTGCAGGCTGCATAAAGCCTGTGTGAAAACGGTTGTGGTGAACAAATGAACGCAAGCTGCATGCTGTTACAAAAATGAGGTTCGTCCTTGACTCGCATCCACAGTGGGCACCTAATGTGACCAGGATGCCCTTCCTCAGCCCTCCCTCCACCCAGGGTGAGCTGAGCTTCCCTCAGCAGAGGACGCTCACCCGTCATATTGGAGAGCAGCAGGAGGCTATGCGGGTCCACTGATCTACAGTCTCCCAAAGCTGGGTCACCTGAGTGGGGGCAGGGCTCATGCCCAAGGGAGTCCGTGGCTAGTTCAGGGAGGTGGTTTCACCAAGCAGCACTCACCGAGGTAAAGACTCATGCACAGGAACACAATGAGGCCAAACCAGGCATTGAAGAACATGCTGAAGTAGATGATGCCAATGATGATGTCGGCCAGCGTGGGGACGATGTTGAACACCAGGTAGCTAGGAGGTAAAGTCAAGCAACGAAGAAAGGTTTAAGGGCTCGGAGCCAGCAACTCTCCCTAGGGGGTTTCAGCGTAGTGTTTTGTTTTCAACAGCAACAGACTGGAATCAAGCTAAATGCCCCTTAAGAGGTAAATGGTGAAATAAACCATAGGATGCCCAAATTATAGAATGCTCTGGATCAATTATAATGAATGAGGAAGATCTTCATGTGTGGGTTAGAATACATCTCCCTAACATTTTGATAATAAGGCCATTCTGAGAATGACATCTACGTCATGACACCATTCATTTTAGGAAAAACCTCCACGATACCACATTAGTTCTGTGAGTCTGCATGTATATATGTAAAAAAATGCAAAAAAAAGCAGAACTCAACATACTGAATGGAGTGAGAACCTCTGGAGAAGTGAGCGGAATTCAAAAGAGATTTGCTCTGTCTTCTTTATTTGAATTATTACGAGAGCACGTGTACATTAATTTTACGATTAAAAAAAAAAGAGGACAGAGGAGCAGCTCCTCAAGCTGGGTCTGTTCTCCTGACAGCCCCTCCACCCCTGCGTCTCCAGACCCGCCCTCCCACACTTCCTTTCCATTGGCTTGGCACCTGAGCAGCCCCGTGACACTGGATGTGCCCCGGTCCACGATCCGCAGCACCTCCCCCGTGCGGCGCCCCAGGTGCCAGCGCAGCGAGAGCTCGTGCAGGTGGGAGAAGAGGCGCAGCTCCACCTGCCGCGAGGTGAACTGCTGCACCCGGATCCATAGGAACGTGCGCAGGTTGCTCACGAAGCCTGGGGGAAGCCAGGGGAGGCCTTGGTAGGGCTGAGAAGCCTAAGGACGTCATCCCAGCAGCAACATGTGAAAGGTCTGAGAGCACCAAGGGGCCTGGGGGAAGGACGCCTGTGGGAGAAGGGAGAGGGACCAGTACCAACCGAGGTGAGAGCAGAGTCCCTCATACCTGTACTGCCGGTGCCACCCCCCTGGAGGAACTTGAGGAAGACATAGGTGATGACAGTCCAGACCAAGGAGCTCCAAGGTGCCTTCTGGGTCAGCAAGTTCACTATGGAGAAAACGAGTCCGAGCCTACTTATGGACCCTAGAACCCTCTTCAGGAGAAACCGCCCCAGGAATCAGCCACAGCCTCTTTCTGACCACCCAGCTCCCAACTCTGTCCCACTTCCCTAGGCTAGTCCCCTGCACCAACCAGGCCAATGAAAGACCAGAGTGCTGAGCTGACAACCCTTCTCCCCCTCACCTATGTCCCTGTAGAAGATGGGGACCAACACGTTCAGTCCCCGGTCCAGCCCCATGAGCCCCAGGCAGATGAGCACAACAAACTGCAGAGCTGGACTCCCTCGAGGCCACAGGTAGCCACTCAGTAGGCGGAGTTTCCTGCCAAGGTCTTGCCAGGTAGACCGTGGTGGCCCCTCTGTTGACTGAACCTAGGATGGTGAAACGCATAAGGGAGGGAAGCTCAGAAATCAAAATGAAGCGCACTAGCCAGAAAGCCTCTAGGGAAAATGTATGGGATTACAGCTCCCAGGTAACGGTAACGGACCAACAAGCGATCCCTGATGGGGTAAAGCTAACAGGGCACAAACTGAGATTTAGGAAAGAAATGGGTTTTTATGGTGGGAAGAAATGATGACAGAGAATGGAATTAAGATAGATCCGAAGTTTCAGAAACTGAGGTGTACCTGGCTCCTGTCTACATCTTGATCCTCTTCATTGACCCGCAAGGTGTATGACTGGGGACGAAGTCCAGGGGCCCAGAGCCCCAGGACAAAAAGCCCTCCAGAGACCACATACCGCAGCACCCACAGGCTAAACTGAACCTAGAATTAAACATATGTGGGGAGACTATCAACGAGGGCCAGAATCCCATTGTTACTACTTATAACACATCTGGGGACTGGGGTAGGGCACACACCCAGGTCCTCCTCAGGGGCCCAGCATCTAATAGGCTTTTAAAAGAATCCACAGTGACTCAGCACAGCCACTCCCCACCAGCTGGCTATCAGCTCCCAGCAGCGCTGGCCCCTCCTTTCTGCCCTTTTTTAGAGGCATTCGAAAGCATGGAGCCAGTGTGACCAGACATGCCATCTTTCTTCCCAGCACCCGCTACCCATGCTTCCCCTCCCCCCACGAGGTCACTCACCTGCTGGCTCAAGTTCGCCCTTGCCCACCACCATTGTGGGCTGTTCCAAGACACTAGGGCCAAGTTCTCGGCTGCAAAAGCCACAGTCCAGAGGAGCAGGAGACCCGGGCTGTGCGTGAACTTGATCCAGACGCCCATTGCTAGCTTCTGCCGTGCCTGGCTCCGTTCCACCACGAGCAGCCCCAGGCCACAGGCGCTGGCCACAGTCCCCAATAAAGACGCCAGCAATAGGTAGCCTGGCAGTGGGGCACCCTGGGCAGCGCCCACCCGGCCAACCAGACCGGCTAGGGGCAGCGCCACCTGAAGTGTGGCCAGAAGCAGCTGCAGCACGTAAGGAGCTACGCGAGGGCCGGCCGCCCAAGACACCGCGTCAGCGCCACCTGGCCGCTCCGGACGTTTGCAGGGAAGAACCGGCACCAAGGCCAGAGCCCCCAGGCCCATCAGCGTCGAGGGTACAAGCGTGAAGAAGAAGCAGGGGCTGAGGCCACCCTTCGCCCAGACCGGACCCGCGGGTCCTTCGGCCTCACAGTAGTTGCCCACAGTCACCATGGCAATGCGTGGCCGCCGGCCGAGGCTGAGGGGACTGAGGGACAGGAGAACTGGACCGGCCGCTCGGGGCGGGGCGCGGAATCCCGGGTATCTCGGGTCATGGAGCCTCGGGGCGCTAAGCCGCGGGGGTCGCGCGGCAGGGACGAACGTGGACCCGGCCACACCACCCCCTCGCTTCGCGCACGCGCCGCCGCCACGCACTCACGCCGGGCACGTACGCCGTCTCTGCCGTCCGCCCCTAGCTCGCGGCCGGGGACCCTCTGGCCAAGTCGGGGCCCACAGGAATGTTCAGCCTCTGCCTCCAGCCGCTCTCTTCCGCAGCAGCCCCGCCCACCAGGGCCGCTCCCAGCTCCTACCCAGGGCCCCATTGGCCGAGTGTCTCCGAAGGGGCGGGGGAATGGTGCACGCTAGGGAAGGCAAAATAGAACAGCGGAGTCGGCATGGTCACGTGCTCAGGGCGGGAAATCTGACCGCACGTCCTGCCGGAGTCCTTGACCTCCACGGAACCAGGGATCGGAAGCTGCCCTCTGCTCGCCCAGTAGGTCGGTATATCCAAGCGATCGCATTGGCCAGCTTTCCCACATGGCCGACCCGGTCCCCAGCCACCTGGGTGGTTCACACACACCCCACACCCCGCTTGCCCCCAGAACCTTGGCCACTCGAGACAACAAGCCGCGACCTGGTCAAAATCCCTTCTTTATTAAGGGTTGTCAAGCTGTACACGGTCCCCACGCCACTCCGCTGTAAGTTCGGGCAGCGTAGTTCACCGCTCACCCGCAGCGGACCGCAGCTGGGTGAGGGGTGGGGCGAAGGGAAGGAGCTGGGTCCCAGCATGCAATGCGGCAGCCCAAGGCGAAGACGTCCTGTCGCCCCTCCATCCCCCTCAAGGGACAGTGGGATGCAGGCCAGAGCTCTCTTGCTGATAGGCAGCCAGTCGAGGGCACACTTCCAGCCCTGTCCATCCCATGTGCAGGTGGTGGGGCGGGGTACAATAAGCAGCAATAGGGGCCAGGAAGGCCTCAGTCTCCCGGGGGACCCATCTTAAAAGTTGGAGAGGGCAGCAAAGAGTTTCCATCCTGCTCCTGCAATTTAGAAACTTCCTTCTTAGTGTCAAAAGATAGCATGAGGGGAGCTAGGAGCTAAAGCCTCCACACCAAGACAAAGCAAAAGCTGAACAGAAGGGGAACAAGCGAACGGAACAGGAGCAAGTGGCACACATGCCAGTGATGTGCAGGAAGCAGGGGAGAGGTGAGCAGGCTGCAGCACTGGGAGAGAACTGGGGGTGAGGTAAGGGCCACAGCCTGAGCTGCTCATCTGTTCAGGGTGCGGGGAGGGCGGCTGCAGAGGTTGAGGGTCCAGGCCCACCTCCCCACTCCACAGTTGGCACAGGTTCTCCCTGCTTGGCAGCTTCTGTGGTGGGCAGTCCTCTGGAGACTTGCAGGGTTGGGTGCAAAGGTGGCAGTACTGGGGCTGGGCTGGGGACCAGTTTCTAGCACCACACTCTGAGCCAAGGGGTGTCCTGGGGATGAGGCTAGAGTCCTGTGTGCCCTGGTTCCTAGGCCCCCAATCTCTCTCCTGGGGCTGTGGCGAGCCCAGCATTGGCACCTTCCTTGGCCAGGCACAGACACACAAATACCACACGCGTGGAGCCAGGCAACACTCAGAGGAGCCCTCCATGGCAGGCGGATGGGATGGCAGGGCAACGGTGGCCTCCATCCTGGGGCATAGGGACCCTCCTCAGCCTCGTCTATACCTGTGGAGAGAAAAGGGTTGGTAATGGAGATAGTCTTCAGCTATCTGCTTACACAACAGAAGCCTGGAGATAAAGGAAACGGAAAACTTGATTCTTGAGGAGGTAAGCAAAGGAAAAATCAAGTCCTGGATTTCACAGCAGGTGAGGGAAGAAAAGGAAGTGTACTTTGGGGGGGAAGTTGCAGTATCTCTGCCTGAGAGGCCCACCTCCCTTCACATGAGAAGTTTTGACCTCAGCCTGCAAGTTACTGCTTCTGGCATTTGTTTTGGGGTCTTGAAGCCCTTACCTTGTGCACCTGAGGGGGAAGCTCATCCTCTGAGCCCTCTTCGGGCACGGGCTCTGGGTGCCTTGATGCTGACTGCCCATCTTCAGCCCATCCTCCAAGGGGCAGCCGAGAGAAGTGAGAGGGAGCCCGGGGCACTGTTCCAGGATCTAAAGATACAAGTAAATACTCTTAGAATGAACTCAAACAGGAACGAGGAGAAGGGTGCTGGGGCTTTTGGGGGTAGGGGGAAGTGCGGGGGAGGGATTAGTCTCCTTGGGTCTGGTCCCTCTGACTTCTTTCGTCCCCTAGAGGCCCCAGAAGGACCACCCTTCCCTGAAGACTCTGTGTCCTTCCCAGTGGATACCTGTGATGCCTCCGTAGCGCCTCTGGAAGCCCCCATGCAGGGCAGTGGTCTCGGGAGCTCCAGGCCGGGATGCAGCACAGGGATAGCTGGCGGAGCGGGGGATAGGCTGGGGGCCCCGGGCACCCTCTCCCCCCTCTTCGGGGGCACTCTCCCCACTCTCATCACTCTCCCGGCGGTGCCACACATGCCGCTCAGGTTCAGCCTGGGCCTGCTGCTTGTGGAGCTGAGAAGTGGGGGATTCATTAGTTGGGGACAAAAGAATATCTGTCTGAAATGGCTACCCTCCACCATGGTATCGGCCAGTTCCCATTTATACTGCCTCACCTAGAATCACTGACCCAGAGTATCTGATGTGTTAATAATGTGTAACATACACATGATATCTTACAGGTTAAATTCTCAGCAGATCCCTGGAACAAGCCTGTGCATAAATTGTAATAGCTCTCATTTTCCCCAGTCATTTGATTCTGGAACAAATTGGTTGTGAATCTAAGTGCCAGGAACTCTTTTAGGTGCTAGGGATACAGCAGTGAACAAAATAGACAAAAATTCCAACTCCTGTGGGGCTTATATACTTGGGGGAAGTGGGGAAGGATAGATAATAAACAAATAAATAAGGGAAAAATACAATGTCCCATGGTGCTAAATGCTATGGAGAGAAAAACAGAACAGGAAGGTTCAGGAGGGTAGGCAAGGGAGGCTTTTACTCAGGGTGGCCAGAGGTGGTCTCATGGGGAAAGAAGGAGCATACTTGAATGAGAAGGAGGGAGCCCTGTGGATATCTCAGGGAAGTAGGTTCTTGGCAGGGGAAACCACAAGTGCAGAAAAGGCCTGGGTAAAAGTAAGCTAGGCTAAAAAGGATAGGAAGAGGATGTATGTGGGAATGGAGATTGCAGAGCAGGTAAATGGCAGAGAAGAGATTTGAACCCAGGTCTTGCTTCACATCTAAAACCCTCTATTCTGTTTTCAGCTGCCACCTTGGTTCTATGACCCTGCCCCTTCCAGCCCACTCACCTGGTGCATATAGAGGGCATGCAGGCTCATCTCAGTGGACGCATATTCCGACAGCACCAGGCTCTGCAGCTGTCCTTCCCACACACTGCTCCCGGAGCTGGCTGTCCTGGCATCCACCCTGCCCCCCAGCACAGACAGCAGTCATCAACATTTCTGAGACCCACACAAATTGCTGGGGGCTACTGCCATGCCCTCCTCTCATGGCCCACCTCTACTCACCCAGAGCCTGTCATGGTGCTGGGAGCCCGGCCTGTGGGGGCCTGACCAGGCTGCAGAGGGGAGAAGGAGCGCAGGGCAGAGGCGACCTCAGCCCTGTGCCTGGAGCCCTGCAAGTCTCTGGGCAGTGGGGGGCCCCGGCAGGATGAGCCGGCTACCACATTTGCAATAAGGCTCAGTGGCTATGAAAGAAAAGAGTGGGTAGAATTCTCAGGGCATAGGGAGGCCTCTGAGTTCCCCAGTATTCTGCACATTAGGACCCAGTGGCACAGACTGGACAGAAGGAAACTGACCCGGTAGGCCCTTCCGCCCCATGCGCATGTCCCACGTCCCAGCTCCTGGAGTCCACTCTTCCTGTCATCTCCCAGTCCCTAGGAACGCACCTCAGACTCAGATTGTAAGGATTGGATGGACGTAAAGAGGGCATTTTCTGGGAGCAGACCCCCTTGGGCAAGGCCTGCAGCTGCTCCGTCCCGCTGAACTTGCTCCTTGAGGAAACCGAGGAAGGCCGTGCTCTCACGTGGTGGCTGCCAGCCAGGGTTGGTGATGGCAAAGTGCATGAGTGACAACTCTGTCTTCCCATCCTCGGCTTGCTGGTACACTGAGGCCTCCGTCTGCCCACCGGACAGCCACTGTACAAGGGAGGCTGCAGTGAGCAGGACTGTCCCCTTACAGGAACCCTTTTTGTACCTTTCCTGCTAGTGGGGAGGCCTTGCCCCTGGAGGGCAGAGACCACAATGCACTGCTGTATCTTGTCCAGGGGCCCTGGTGCCCACCCCACGAGTAGCCACATGCCAGGCTAGCTGCTTGGTTTGTGCCTTTCAGGGAGCTTGGCCAAGGGTGCAAGTTTAAGGTTATAATCGAGCCCAGGCTCCTGTTTACAAAGCAGTGTGTGCCCTGGTACAGGGTTGCCCCAAGGCAGGGCTGCCTTTTTGTGATTTGTTGGCTCAGAAGGGTGCCTTTTTGCAGTTTGCCCAAAGACACTGTATATGCCAGCATCACCTCTGGCCAACTGCCCCCCTCCCTCCTTTCCTAATACCTGGGGGTGCCCATGCTGGCGAACATCCATCTGAGCGAAGGAGCAGGTATCTCCAACACCAACGACCTCCACGGTGAAATTGCGGAAGAAGTCTATAATCTCCAGGGCCCGTGGGCGCAGGCAGAAGATGAGGATGAGGGGTGTGACAATGGGGCTCAGTAACTCCTCCAAGATGAACACCTAAAAGGGAAGGGATCAGGGTCACAAGAGAGCAGGAGGGAGCCCAGCCCTCGCCACCAGGCTATCAGCCAGTCTCTAGCAGGCCCTAACTCCAACTCCACTCACTGCCTTGTACTGGAAGAGCTGGGCAAACTCGTCCCGGGTCTGCGAGCGGTGGGCATTACCCTGCCAGTGGTCAGGCATGTAGTGGATGTGAGCGAGGATCACGCGGAGCAGCTGCTCAGGGCAGAACACCATGTGCTGGTCCGGAATAAAGGACCTAGTGGGATCAGGGTCATGGTGAGACATAAGCCCCCGGGAACGCTAGTTGGCTTGCTCCCACCTGCTCCCCTGGCCCACCTGCACACGGTCACGGTGACCCCCAGGAGCGTGACAGTGGTGAGGACATGTTCCACAGCCAACACATCTTCGTCGTAGATGGTGAGGGCAATAAGCACGGCCAGGATGGAGCCAGCAAAGAAGGCGCAGTTCTTGGCCAGCAGTGTCAGCAGAGGTGACAAGAAGCAATTCATGTACTTGGATGCGGGCTTGTAGCCTCGGTTGAGGCGGGACTGTAGCTCGTGTTCCAGCTCGTTGAAGTGGCGGAGGTAGCAGCGGCCGTAGAGCGACCAGCAACGTGCTCCCAGGGCCCCC